CTTCCAATGAATCCATTTCTGATGATGCTTCAACAGTAGAGGGCCATTTTCTATTTCCTAAGAACATGATGTTCATATACGGGTCGTCTGCTACAGATAGTTTTAAATCCTGACATTTATGTGTTTATCTCTAAGGACTGAGTTACAAATGAAGCGAAAAGTAGCCAATGTCAAAGAAAAAGAAAAAAGAGCAAAAGCCAGGAGAACTATTGCTCAAGATCACTTTAAACAAATAAACAAACATATACAAAGAAATCTGGTTTCCTGGAACCAAAACGTAAAGAAAAGACGGGCGGCACAAGTGTTTTGCATGACGCTCTAAACCAAAATTCAAAAGTAGTATCTTGACACATCTTAATCTCTGGTGAATCACCAACCTATCTGACTGGTTTCTGCGAGCAGCACACACAGCTGAGTGGGCTGACACACTGGGCGGTAACAAACTCTAAATAAATAAATGAAAGAAAACTCATCGCAGAGCTGACGAACTACGTCAGCTAGTGAGCCAGTCGCTAACATGTCAGCCACTCACTACTGTGGCTTCTCTGCAATGTGCACTTTATCCCCCCTTTGTTCTCAAGCTTGCACACTATTCCACTCAAGCATTTTTACTGAATAAGGAAAATAATCTATCCAAGCTTGCTAATTTCTCGCCAGCCAGCTCATTAACTAAGCTACTAGAAAGACAAAGTCCCCATTGTTTATTCAGAAGCCATACTTGCAGCTTTCTGCCTTCCTGTAACGCTCTGCAAACTTTTATGTTTATAGTGAAACAGCAAACTAACATCCTGAATTTTGGACTGTAGGGCTCAAAGGTCAGCTCTGGATGGCTTGGTGCTCACCCAATCTGAATTTTCTTCTTTTTTTCATAGCAAATGAGCCCACCCACTGCAGCAGTGTGACTAGAATAATACGAACTGGTAAAAACAAGCCTGTGGGAAAAGGGAGGGGAAAAGTTTTAATAATCAAGTATACCAGCATTTTGGTATACTTCTGCAGCTGTCACCAATGATTGGGCTTTATTCCAAATTTCACTGGCCCCAAGCACGCACACGTTTACAAAGAAAACACTCGCACTAGGCTGTGTGAAAGTAATGGATTAACCAGCTGCACCTGCATAGCCCAATTAAAAGTATTTACTGAATCAGAGTCTTATTTACTACACGTTTTATTCATCTGTGTTGGTACACAAGTGTCAGCCAATGAAAGGGAAGATTTTTTGTAGAATGGGAATAATTTATGAGAAGTGAAATCCACAGCACAGCGGGGGCTGCGATACTGCGGATAGATCTTAAAATGTTACAAGCGGCCAAAAATATGCCGATGACAGCGTAAATTTCTCTCTTTCTTCAACTGAGTCTGAGAAACCTGATCCTCCGGGTTAGCTGGGCCGTAGCCACAGTAACAACTTTCACTAAAACCCATCTCCATCTCTAATAACACGTCCTATCATAGTGATCATTCGTGTGCACCTGCATGGTGGTTTGACATCTGCTTTACACCCAGTCCCAAGCCTGGAAAAATGGGAAGAGCGTCCAGTTTAAACTCTGTGCTAAATCAAGTATGTGGCTCTCGCCTTAAACATGGCAAAGCTCGGACAGTTTGAGTTATCAAATCAAAACTGGCTCATTAGTAGTGTGGACACTGGTAGAAAATAATTAAAGCTACAAGCAAACACATGCAAGTAGCATGTTTACACCTTATTATCTGGGGCGGTTTTAAAACAGAAAACATTTCCTGTCCAGGTGAGAGTTTCAGCAGATTATTAGATTGGAAGTCTTGATAAGTGCTGCAAAGAATGCAGCAAATGCAAGTCAAGTTAATTCATCATCAAGGCGTTTGTTTCCCAGAAAAGGAAGGACACGTAAACTGATGGTTCCTATCAGCGTGTCATGTCTAAAGTTTATAGACTGAAACGTGCTCAGCAGCACTTGCAAAAGTCAGGAAACTGTGGACATCAGGCGTAAACGTCGTTGTGTGCGACAGACTGCTCTTTACAATCCCTGGCAGCTAAAAGGTCAGTGGAATGTGTAAGAATGTCTAAAGGTCAAAGAAGCACTACTGCAGAGAGGATCCTAATCAGTTCATCTGGACAGCCTTTCCCCCTGACTCGTTTGGAGACCGAGTGTGGCTGTGTGAGTCTCAGGCAATCTGTGCGGCACTGTAGGGGAGCCTAAAGCGAGCCCTCTGTGACAGCATCATGTTTCAGGCGGTCTTTGACTGGAACTAAGTTCCAGACCACCAGAAGCGAATGCAAACGTTAAAAGTCTGGAAATATAAGTCACTGTTTTAGATTAGAAAACTGAGCTGTACTCAAAGCAACCCCCAATGCTTTTTCTTCTAGGACTTCTAAACAGGAGCCTCACAGTTAACGGCGCACACCCCGTCTCACACACACATTGTCCTTATATCCACAAAAGAAGAAGAGTTGGTAGGGGGAGTAGGGTGGGGTGAATCGGGGTGGGGGTGAGCCATGTGAGTGCACAAGAAATTCAATTAAGCAGACAGCGGGATAGCTCCACAACCCAACCTCCTTTGAGCACAATGTGCCCTCCAACAGTCCCGGCTCCACTCCCAAGCTTCCCAGCCAACCCCTTACCGCCATTCAGCCACTCCCCCAACACCACCAAGACCCACTGAGGACCCTTTGCTGGGCTCCCTTTCATGCACCCCCTACCTCCCCCCACCCTCTTCCCAGTTGTCTCTTTTGCCTCAAAGGAGATGAAAATCTTTAAGATGTGCAACAGCCAAGATGGAAAAACGAATTTAAATAGTTGACATTAAAAAGTTTAAGGCAACTTGGCTAAAAAAAGAAAGTTGTTCGTTTTAGACACACAAAAAAAATCTCTTCTTTTTGTTTTCTGTGTGTGTGTGTGTGTGTGTGTGTGTGTGTGTGTGTGTGTGTGTGTGTGTGTGTGTGTGTCTGGCAAGCTGACAGATGCTGTTCATTTAGCACTTGTGCAGCAATCCTCGAGCTTGTCTCCTAAATGCCCAGGGGAGCCACTGGCATTTGGACAGCATTAAATAAAAAGCCACTCTGCAGACCTCACACCACGTCCAGATCTGACCTCGCAAAGATGGCCACTCCGCTCGGATTTCAACCAGCCAACTGACTAAATCTGTGCCGGTGAAGAAGCCCGTTCTACTCACCCTCCCCTCAGCCTCGCTCTGGCATGTAACAGGTAGCCAGGCTGCTATTCGAGCAAGGTTTTAAGAATTATTTACTCGGGGTGGAAGCGATGAAACACCTGCTCGACCGGCACGCTTCTGGGTAAAGCAATCTAACGTGTGTAAATAACAGCTTCCTATGAGAGTAGCCTTGCTTTTTCCTGACATGTTAGGAAATGTCAATAGCTGTTCTGTTACTTACCAGACCCGCGCTGTTTACAGCACAAGAATAATTTGCGATTCTCAGGGTTGTTTGGGACGACGCAGCGTCAGTCTCATTACAAATGCATAGGTTTTAACAATGAGATAATAAACCTCTCAAATGAGGCGGCCCTTTCCCATGCCAGCGTATTGTTAGAAATGTGTACATCATTGTCAGTGATGAACACACAGAGCCCGAGACTCAGGGGCGCACAATGTCACACACACACTCGCACATAAAGGCTGAGAGAGGCGCTAAGCTGCCGCAGACACAATGTGGATGTTACATAATAACAGCAGAGCACAGACCAAAATGTTGCGTGTTGTGCGAGTATACGTGCGTGTGTGTTTGCGGATTAAGAGCCCCTCGTGCATGCAACCATTCTTTTATATTATGTTACCTTCACGGTTTTCTCAGCGCACAATTCCAGGAATGTCCAATGGATAACATGTGACCGGTGTGATCTGATTTGAAGCTGCTTGCTTTGAGCCTAAATTCTGCTGCGGTTGCCCTGTCCTTGTAAATCGGGGTAAAATAAGGTCCAACCCCCCCCAAACACACACACGTGAAACAGACTTTATTCCTCTCACAAAACAGATCACAGTGGGTTATGAGCCCGTGTGCTTGCTAAACGAGGCTTAGTGTCCTCCTGTTCCATCATGGCTTTTTCATCCCCACTTGCAGCTTTCAGTCATGTATTTAGGTCTTAAAAACAGGGACATTGACTTCTGGTCCCAAGCCACGCATTTCAAACGGGGGCCCTAAGCAGATATGAGTCCTCTCCCACAGCCAGAGACAACAAAGATAATCAGTGAACAACCCCAAGGAGAAAAAAAAAAAAATCAATCTGCTTGATCCCCTTTTGAAAGCTATTAAGATAAGTCTCCTTCATTGAGAAGCACAAGTGCAGTGACCTAAATCAGTGCAGACATAAATGACAGGTTGGCGTGGGGGCTGAAAAGGCCACTTAAGAGATGCTGTGTGTTTCATAATCACCCCAATCAAGACTTTACAGTGAGGTTAAGCCAAGACCCCATGGGTGTTAATCCATCCCAACAGTTCTGATCAGCATATGCGGCCACAGCAAGCACATACGCGCAGTAACTACACAGTGTGTCTCTATTAGCAGCAGAGCCCAGGAATACAGGTGTAAGGGCCAATTCCCCATTGTTTAAAGCAGGGGTGTCAAACTCAAATACACAGTGGGCCAAAATTCAAAACTGGCACAAGGGCTAACATTAATATTTATTGAAAAATAAATCTCCTCCAGATTTAAGAATGAATCTCTTCTTATGGACTCAAACAAGTTTTGCTGAAAAACTGAATATGGAACAAGCAAAGCTTAATACTAAACAATATATATTAGCTGTATAATACCAGTAGGCCAGCTCTAATAATAACTTGGTATGGCTTCGAGGGGCAAATGTAATTAGGCTGCGGGCCAAATTTGGCCAGCGGGCCAGAGTTTGACACCTATGGTTTTAAGAAAGAATTGGACCAAAGTTTTTATTTAGGAACTTTTAGATTCCGATTAGTTGACGACTGCTCTACTTCCCTACAGAAACCCCATAATGTGGGGCGTGCATGATGACTGTGGCATCCAGGTGTGTTTACAAGTGCATGTACTCACCATTCAGTCCATTGGGGATGCTTCTGTGATGATGTGGTGCTGATAGGTCATCCATGGATCTTCTTATCGTGGTCCCCATCTTACCGTTCTCTGAGGGCTTGTGCATGTGGTTGTGATTGTGGTGATCGGGGCTACCGGCACTTCCTGTGCTGGACGTGCTACTCCCATCTCCAACATCCCTGACCGTGCTGGTGCCCCCGTTCAGGTTGGTCAAGCTGGACTGACTATCTATGGAGCTCCGGGACCCTGCCCCATTCCTCTCTTCATCCAGCATGAGGATGATCTCCTTCAGTTCAGAGTTCTCCCTCAGCACAGTCTCCTGGTTGGCTTCCAGCTCCTTGAGCTTCATCATGTAGGTGCCCACCTCCTTCCACATGGCGCTGGCTGTGTAGCGGCCGAAACGCTGCCACTCCCGGGACAGCTTCTTGCCCTTCTGTCGGTCGTCGTCCAGGAAGCAGCAGAGTTCCCGGAGCTCGTGGTTGTCATCTTGGAGCTTCTGGTTGACTTCCTTCAGGTTCCGGATTTCATGAAGGTGCACCTGCAGCCGCCGGTTAATGTCCTTCATCATGTTGCCATGCTCGATCATCAAGTTCATTTTCTCGCCGTCAACCCTCCTTAATTTCCTAACCAGCTCCTCTTTGCTGCACCGCAGCAGCTCGTCGTCCGTCAGCTGGCTCAGGTCATCCTTCGGCCCCTCGGACGGATTTTTAGCCATGACTGTGGCGGCTGCGAGTCTCAGTTCGTTTATGCAGCTGCTTAAAATTAACTCTCAGAAACTCACTAACCTAACCTCAATTGCGGAATCGTGTTAAAAAATGAATACATTGTCCAAAAAGGGGGGGAAAAAAATCTGAAAAGTATCGATAATGCCCTGATCTTCAACAGGCCGATAATAAAACCGAAAGAATAAACAACACAAATATGACTGTGATGCTTCCACAACCCGAGCTTTTAAAGAAATGACACCACTGATCTGGTAAAATAAATAAAAAATACTCACAGGAACAACAGTTGGTGGTCACAGTCGGTCAGAAACAAACAAGCGATATAAAATCGATTATCAGGGATTTCCGATCACCGAGTCCTGTCGGCAAAAACACAGCGACCCGTAACAGTGTGCACAGTCTCTGCTGGACATCACAACATTCACATGATGGAAAACGTGAAATCCGCCAGCTTCTTCCTTTATGTTTAGGTGAATTCAACCTAATTTCGCGCAAAACAGCGAATGTTCGAGTAAAACGCGCAACCTATAAGAAAAGTCCTCTTGGACGTGTTTCACCGTCTCCTCGGATAAAAGCGTCTTCAGTGAGGCGGTGTGATAGTGGACGGACGACTCAATCCTTTCCACCCAGCAGCCTCGGAATTATCAGTGGACCCCCCGCCTCTCTCCTCCCTCTTGTCCAAACACTCGGGTTTGAAATCATTCAAGAGGATTCAGCTCGAGACGACCAATCAAGACGCGCGAGAGAAGTGGGCAGCAGGTAGATGAAAAAGTGCGGCGCAGCCTCGCAGAGCTCAGGCTCGGCCTTCTTAAAGGTACAGGAGGACGCGCTCGCCGTAAAAACACACTGGATTCATTAAAGAAGAAAAATCAGACTACGCCTCACGACTTTTATTCTTTATTGTTAAATGAAGCACAGATGTATTGTGTGCTTTTAATGGCCGTGATTTCGTTGACAATACTTGAGCATTAAAAAAGCTGGGCTGGTTTACTGAAATGAAGCCCCAAAATATTCATTTAGTTAAAAATCAAAAATACTTTAACCTATGACAGTAGGCTTTAGCTACATGCATATTTGATTAAAGATTAAAAAAATATTATCATCTGTGTTTAAACCAGAGACAACTTCTGGGAGAGTTCTTTTTCTGAACATTGAATTTAAACAGCTTTTTAAAAGTCAGAGATCTCTGCAAGATCTCAGCGCCCCCATGTGGACACTGTCCGTAAAGGCATTAAGACAGCAAATCGGGTAAAGAAATATAAAACACGCTTGTTTCCAAATGATTTCCATTTACACACATATTAGTTTTGTAGGCACAAAGAGGTTTGTGGTTATGAAAAAAAAGACACTACACACCGCTATATAATGAGTTTGTGCATGATTAACAAACAAGTGCAAATGGTATTTAACCCAGCTGTCCCCCTCAAAAAAATTAAATTATATTGTAATGAAAAAAATATATAATATATAATTATCACCATCATTTCATTTCGCTTTACCATGTAATTCATATCTGATACTGTTTTTATTATAACGATTTATTTTTTTAATCACAGCTTTTAGGCAGGAGTAGATCAACAGTTTTACCCTACAGACCACTATGATTTCTTTTTATGTAAAGTCCTTTAAGATCCTTTATTTTTGTAATCCCTGTGACTCAAAGTGCACAACACTCCACTCTTTGGTCTGAGTGTGCCAGCATCCAGGATGTCAAAGGTCTGTCCCGGGACGAGAGTGAAGTCAAACCTCTGGAGCAGTTTGGCCATCACCACTTTAGCCTCCATCTAAAAAACACAACAGCGCCCACAGAGATGAGTCAGTGTGTTTATAGGTGAGTGGGTCTTCATGTTGACTTACGCTGTCATCCTCACCTGAGCAAAGTTCTGTCCCAGACACGAGCGAGGACCGAGGGCAAAGGGGTAGTAGCAGTAATAAGGCCTTGAACAGACGAGAGACAGCCTCAGTTACTGTGAACCGTTTCACTCATTTAGTCTGAGATAATAAAGTGTGTGCAAACATGAAACGTAATAAAGTCAGCATGGTGAAACAGTGTTTTTCTTACTTGGGAGCATCTGGGTGAAATCTGTCTGGATCAAATTTTAGTGGATCCTCGAAGAATTTGTCCAGTCTCCCGCTCACATAGGAGCTGAACTAAATAGGAAAATATTTCACATTTTAACCATAAATGTATTTGTTCTTGCTTGAATAAGATCTCATTTTTTATGTTTTTCTGGCAACTTTGTGACAGTTTTGTTTATACATACGCTACCAGTCAAAGGCTTGGACATATCTTCTTATTTTCTTTATTATGGGTTTTTCTTTTTTTCATGACTATTTACATTGCAGATTCTCACTGAACACATCAAAACTGTGAATCAACACATATGGCATTATGTAGTAAACAAAAAATGTGAAATAACTCAAAACATGTTTATATTTTAGATTCTTCCAAATAGCCACCCTTTGCATTCTCTTGATGAGCTTCTTGAAGTCATCGCCTGAAATGTTTTTCCAACAGTCTTGAAGGAGTTCCCAGAGATGCTGAGCACTTGTTGACTCTCTTGCCTTCACTCTGCGGTCCATCTCATCCCAAACCATCTCCATTGGTCAGGTGACATCTGGTGCAGCACACCATCACTCTACTTCTTAGTCAAATAGCCCTTACACAGCCTGGAGGTGTGTTTGGGGTTCAGTGTGCCTTCAATTCTGAATAAATCCCCCACACCATCACACCTCCTGCTCCATACTTCATGGTGGGAACCATTCATGTAGAGACCATCCGGTTACATTTTGTGCATCACACAAAGACACAGCAGGTGGAACCAAAGATCTCAAATTTGCACTCATCAGACCAAAGCACAGATTTCCACTGGTCTGATGTCCATTCGTTGTGTTTCTTGGCCCAAACAAATTTCTTCTGCTTGTTGCTTTTCCTTAGTCCTGGTTTCTTAGCAGCTATTTGACCATAAAGGCCTGATTCACAGTCTCCTCTGAACAGTTGATGTAGAGATGTGTCTGCTACTGGAACTCTGTGTGCATCTATCTGAGCTCTAATCTGAGCTGCTGTTAACTTGCTAATTCTGAGGCTGGTGACATGGATGAGTTTATCCTCAGCAGCAGAGGCGACTGTTGGTCTTCCTTTCCTGGTGCCGTTCTCATGTGAGTCAGTCTCGTCGTAGCACTTGCTGATCTTTGAATGTGTCCCCAAAGTTTAAGCAATTTTCCAGACTGACTTTCAGTTCTTAAAATAATGAAGGACTGTCATTTTTTCTTTACTTAGAATTCATATTATGGCGAGAACCAATCAGATAAGGGCTGTCAGCTGTGTACCAACCTGACTTCTGCACAACACAACTGATTATCCCAACTCTATTGAGGCGGAGAGAAATACCACAAATGAACCCTGACAAAGGCAGACCTGTGAATTGAAACCACTTCATGTGCCTACATCATGAAGCTCATTGAGAGAAGGCCAAGAGTTTACAGCGCTGTCAACAAAGTTAAGGGACTTGAAGGACTCTATAAAACATATTTAGAGTTATTTATCTTTTTTTCTTCGCTACATAACTCCATATATCTTGCTTCATATATTTGTTGTCTTTAGTATGTAGTTATCATTTAGACTTACAAACATATTAAAAAGAAAATGACTCACAACAACGCTAAATCCCCCGGGTATGTGGATACTGTCAATCACCATGTCTTCAGCAACATCACGAGACGTGCCTGGAGCTGGGGGGTAAATTCTTAGAGTCTCTTTTAACACCTGAAGGAAGGTTACAATGAGAAGTGCACACTTTGGGTGAGTTATTAAAATAAATAAATGAATAACTAAATTTACCACATGTACCTGTGACAGGTAGACCAGCTCTCCTAAGTCGTCATAGCTTATGTCACGTTTCATCCCAATGACATCATCGACCTCTTTCTTTGCTCTAAGAAATAAAAATATAATTTAGAAAACCAAAAATTCACTCTATATATTACACAGTTATAACTGCAGAAATATTACCTTAGTCATCTTTAGAGGTTAACACAGGTCATAGGAGTAAATATGTAGAAACAGATGTAAAACTACATTTTTTATAGAGAAAAATGCACATCTACATAAATGTCTGTGGGCTTGAGATTTATATAATCTCAGGATTGGGAATATTTTTGATGTTTGATATTTTGATGGATCAAATTAGAAGAAGTTGTTTTCACACAACGGGTTGACAGTCAGATCTGAGGGACACACTGATTGTAAGAACTGGATCTATCAGACTGACTGTACAACAAGTGTGTCACAGCAAGAAGCTTTCTGAAGATCTCACAGACTTTTGTTTAAGTCCTCTTTACTTATAGGTTCAATCAGATGATGTTTCAGGTTATATTCATCCAAAGATATAGAAAGTTGTAAATAGAAAGTGTAAATTGTTGAGTTCTGTTTGACTTCTTACTTCTCCAGTATTTCAGGATGTCTTCCAAGCGCCATGATGCAAAAACCCAGTTGATTGGCTGTTGTTTCTTGGCCTAAAATGTTGCCAGTTTGTCAATAATGCATCAGAATATTACCTCAATCAAGAAGTTGTAATCCTAATTTCTACATCACAACTCTTTGAGTCTTAAAAAGCCTAGTTAACTCAAAATCAATAATATCATTATGTAACAAAAACAGATCATATGTTTCTTTTTCTTGATTGATATTTTACTCATTTGCAAATGTTATGGTCCCGGTCAAGATTGAAAAGAGTAATAAATATGTATTTTTTTTTACATTTGAGACAAACAAGTTTACCCTGCCCGGGATAGGGTTACCGGGGCCCCGCCCTGGAGCCAGGCCCGGGGAGGGTGCCCGAGGGCGAGCGTCTGGTGGCCGGGCCTTAGTCCATGGGGCCCGGCCGGGCACAGCCCGAAGAGGAGACATGGGCCCATCCTCCCGCAGGCCCACCACCCGCAGGAGGCGCCATAGGGGTCGGGTGCATTGTGTGCCGGGTGGCGGCCAGGAGCGGAGGCCCTGGCGGACTGACCCCCGGCTGCCAAGACTGGCAATAGGGACATGGAATGTCACCTCTCTGGTGGGGAAGGAGCCTAAGTTAGTGCGTGAGGTTGAGAGGTACCGGCTAGATATAGTCGGGCTCACCTCTACACATGGCTTGGGCTCTGGAACCAGTCTCCTGGAGAGGGGCTGGACTCTGTCTCAGTCTAGAGTTGCCCCTGGTGAGAGGCGGCGGGCTGGGGTGGGTATCCTAATATCCCCTCGGCTTGCTGCCGGTACGTTGGGATTTTTCCCAGTGGACGAGAGGGTTTGTTCCCTGCGCCTTAGGGTCGGGGAACGGGTCCTGACTGTCATCTGCGCTTATGCGCCGAGTGGCAGTTCAGAGTACCCAGCCTTCTTAGAGTCCCTGGGGGGGGTGCTGGAGGGTGCTCCACCTGGAGACTCTGTTGTCCTGCTGGGAGACTTCAATGCTCACGTGGGAAACGACAGCGAGACCTGGAGGGGCGTGATTGGGAGGAACGGCCTCCCTGATCTGAACCCGAGCAGTGCTCTGTTATTGGACTTCTGTGCTAACCACAGTTTGGCCATAACGAACACCCTGTTCGAACATAAGAGTGTCCATAAGTGCACGTGGCACCAGGACGCTCTAGGCCGTAGGTCGATTTTGTAATCGTATCAGCAGACCTGCGACCATATGTTCTGGACACTCAGGTAAAGAGAGGGGCTGAGCTGTCAACTGATCACCACCTGGTGGTGA